TGATCCCAATTCTATTTTACAAATCTGGCTAGACCAGAGGATGTACACTGGTACAGATAGGAACTGGAAACACAGGGAATCCAGGAAGGATGATCCCTTCAGGACCAGTGGTGAGAGTGGTGATACTGGGAGAGTGGAAGGAGGGTGGGGTAGAAAGGGGGAACTGATGACAAGGATCTACATATAACCTCTCCCTGGGGGATGGACAACAGAAAACCGGGTGAAGGGAGACATCGGATAGTGTAAGACATGACAAAATAATAATAATTTATAAATTATCAAGGGTTCATGAAGGAGGGGAGAATGGCAAAGGGGGGGACGACAATAAAATGAGGAGCTGATACCAAGGGCTCAAGCAGAAAGCAAACGTTTTGAGAATGATGATGGCAACAAATGTACAAATGTGCTTGACATAATGGATGTATGTATGGATTGTGATAAGTGTTGTACGAACCCCCAATAAAATGATTTAAAAACAAAACAAAGATTGGGCAGTGTTCTGTTGCATTGTGCACAGGGTGACCATTATCTAAATGAGATTCTCCATTATCCACCCAAGAGCACTTTGCTTCTCTCATTGATTTTTTTTTAAAAACAAACACAATTAAAGCATGTTTCTTTATAGTTTTACTTATAATGGATTTACTCCCCAATTTCTTGTCTGCTTATCTCACGAGGACAAAGATTACATGTCTTTATTGCTGACTGTTGTCTTTGTTAGTTTGCATGATGCATAAAGACTTGGTGAGTGAAGAAGTGCAGAGTCTAGCATAGCATTTTCCACAGGATACACTCTATGGGACATAGTTTTATGGGATGTTTGAGGTCAGGAGTTGTTAAAGCACAGCCTGTGAACCAAATCTGAGCTGCAGCCCTATTTTTGAAAATAAGGTTTTATTGGTATACAACCGTACTTATTCGCTTACACGTTGTCAACGGCAGAGAATAACTAACCTCCAGAGCCTGCCTTTAACCTGAAGTTTGCCCATCTTAACCTTTACTATAAGTGATTATATATGTATTTTAAAAAGGTTCGGTGGATCTAAACTATCTTGGATTACACAAAGTCACCTAAGTTCCTTCTATGTAGGACTTCTTGAAGTCTTTAATGTGCAGATGTGTACTCGGAATATCTGAAAAATGATATTTTATTCATGCATGGATATTTACCTTTGTTACAACTAAATACATGAATGGGGTGGAATCCACAGCGGGAAAAGTGATGGAAAACTTCTCTGGCATTACCAGGCACCTTGGAGAAATGACTCATTGGTCCTGGAAGCTCAAGACTATAGTTTCGGGGGACACTAAAGTCAACTGGCATAACACAGTCCACATGGTTTACAACCCACTTTGGTGAAAAGTAACCGGGGTCTTAAAAGTTTATAAGTAGTCATCGAAGGTGCAGCTATGGGTCTCTCTCTATCCAGAGGAAAGAAGAGTGATCACAATTGTAGACACATAAAAATAATGAGGCCAAAGGTGTAATGGACCATGCAAACATCAGTCTCCACAACCCCGAGACCAGAAGAACTAGATGGTGCCCAGCTCCGTGATCAACTCTCTGAAAGGGATCACTATTACAAAGTCTTGAACAGATTGGGAGACAGACAGGATGCAGAACAAGACTCAAAATCATGAAGGCGACCAGGCTTGCTGTCTTATAGAGACTGGTAGACCTCCTGAATCTATGGCCCTCAGTCACGTTTCAGGTCTGCAACCGAACTTATTCTACAAGTTCTGTTTTTGGCCAAACACTAGGCAAGTTTATAAGGGAAACAATAACACTCGTGAGGTAAGCATTCTTTAGAATAATCAATGATTTGAGATAAAAAGAGCAGCACTTACCCAAGGACGAAGTTCAAAGGGCTAAGAAAGAATGGAGACCGGACGCACGGGGGAAGTGTGATGGTGATGCCACACTGATGGGAATGCGGTGAATGAGATGAGATAGAACGTGTATGGATCACTGACTGTAAAACTGAGGTAAGCTACCCAATTAACAATAAAAAGCCTTTTAAAAAAATGATAGAATATACAGCTTCTCAGGTTTGTTTGAGCTGGTTTTTTGGAATAGAACGGACAAATGTAAACCAAAGTCTTTCAGTAACTCTGAAAGTGAGATTCTATCAGACTAACAGGTATTTCTGCTACCACAGTAAACTGCACTTTCAAGTTAACAAGGAATGTATAGTGAGAAGGGAAACTGAGAAGTGTTGACTAAGAACGAGACGGCTGTGCCTGGTATCAATTAAGGGAGCTTCAAAAAGATCATGGAAAGCAGAATTAAAAGACTTTTCCAGGAACTTTTTAAAGTCCTTGCAAATCTTACTTTCTACTTCTGGTCTAGCGAATCCACCCACATTAGAAGGTATCACTAGAATTAGGAATTCCCTTGTATTTTCTGGAAGACAAGCAAATGTGACTCAGCAGTAACTTACCTTCTCCTGGCTATTCAGCTCCTGGTACGGGATGTGGGCAGGCAGGTAGGTATGGAGCAGAGCACAGAAGGCCAAACCATCACTCCAGCTGCTGCTGAAGTTGGTGATATCAATGTTCTGTGGGGAAAAAGCAGCATTAACCACCGAAGTATGCAAAGTAACAAAACTTAAATGGGACTGTGTTAAGACAAGTACAGTATACTGATAACCGTATAGTTTTCAGTAAGGCAAGATACAAATCAGCTACTCAAATCTGCGAGGAGTACATTTAATTTTAGTAACAGGACTGGTCTGATGGTGCCTCTAGGTCTATTCAGAAAATGAAAATAATGAAGGCACTGCCATCGTGTTGACTTCTGACTCCTCGTGATCTTAGAGGCGAGAACAGAACTGTCTCAAAGGAAACTCCAAAGGGTTTTGGAGGCTGTGAGTTTTGTAGAGGCGCCGGTTGGAACTGCTGGCCCTGTCGTTCACAGCCCAGTGCATAACCCACCATGACACCAGTAGCACAAAGAAAAAGCATCATGTTCAAAACACTAGGGAATGTTTGTCCTCCCATTCTAAGCATATTGGTCTATTAAAGGTTCTGATACAACTCATTCTCAAAACAATTCGTCTCATAGGCTTATTTAACCAAGAAAGAACCACCACCACCACCACCATCACAATTCATGGCACCACTTAAAACAAGTAGACCAAGATCAAGTTGAAGCTCTTCGAGGACTACCTAGATGGTCTTGAACTGGCTCCTGCTACTCCACACCTCTCCCCACAACTGGAGAGGATTATCAGCAGAAAAGACAACCCACCCTGCCCAGCAATCTACTTGTTAGCTCCCCCAAATCACCAGTGACTGGGAAGCTTTACCGGTAAAAAAGTTAGGTGGGTTACAAGAAACCAAGAGTGACCTCAATAAATGGAAGAACATCCCATGCTCGTGGATTGGCAGACTCAATATAGTAAAGATGTCCGTTCTGCCCAAGGCACTATATAAGTTCAGTGCTATCCCGATACGAATACCACCATCCTTCTTCAAAGAATTGGAAAAACTGATTACCAACTTCATATGGAGGGGGAAGAAGCCCAGAATTAGCAGAGAACTCCTCAAGAAGAAGGACAAAGAAGTTGGAGGGCTTGCACTACCTGACTTTAGCACATATTATACGGCTACAGTAGTCAAAACAGTGTGGTACCAGTATAATGACAGATATTCAGACCAATAGAAAAGAGCTGAAGACCCAGAAATAAAAACATCAGCATACAGGCAACTGATCTTTGATAAGGGCCAAAAAATATCAAATGGGAAGCAGATACCCTCTTCAATACATGGTGCTGGAAAAAATGGAAATCTACCTGCACAAAAATGAAGCAAGACCCTTACCTCACTCCATGCACAAGAATAAACTCAAGGTGGATCACAATCCATGAGATAAAACCCAAAATAATTAGGGCCATTAATGAGGGAATTGGGACAAACCTGAGAACCTTGCACAGGGAATCCACAGGCTATTGGAAATAGGGAAGGATACAAACACAGAGGAGTCACAAAGAGACAAGTGGGATGTACTGAAGATAAGTCACCAGCATACATTGAAAGAATTCACCAAGAGAGTAATACGAGAGCCCACCGAGTGGGAAAACATCTTTAGCAATGACACACCAGACAAAGGCCTTATTACTAAAATCTACAATACTTTGCAAGCTTACAATAAGAAAAAAACTAATTGCCCACTTGAGAGGTGGACAAAGGACCTGAATGGAAGTTTCATAGTCTGAAAGCTGAATGGCCAACCAACATATGAGAAAATGTTCCCAATCATTAGCCATAAGAGAAATGCAAATTAAAACAACAATGAGATACAACCTAACACGCTCAAAAATAGCCCAATTCAAAAAATCAGAAAGCAACAAGTGTTGGAGGGGCTGTGGTGAGATAGGAACTCTCATC